TAGCACTGAACGTACTCAACGTATTCAAATTACCCACAGCACTTGCGGAACGGCGACCGCTACTGGTTTAATTAAGTGACGAGAACTTTACCTATATCATACCAAACAAGTGACGAGGACTTTACTTATATTATATCTACTTAAGCTCTTTATCTGTAAGATTTACAACTGTTCTGGACATGTTTTCCATTGATAATTCTTCAACCTTGGGAAGAGTACCTTTGATTATAACGTCCTCAGATGTCTGTGGGATGTGGTATGATTAACCTTTTTTATCTTCCTTCATCTTCTCTTCTTCACAGGTTTAGTATTATCCACATATGAAGGTACAACATAAATAGCATAGTCCTTATCTCTCATGACGCTTGGTTAGTTCAAGTTTCTCCTTGTGCATTAAATAAATTAGATAAATGATTCTCTAAATTTTCATGATCTGATGGGGGAAGTGCAGATTTGATGCAGTTTTTGAAACTATGATTTAAGCTTTTACCTAAAGTCTGAGACCTGATTACTTGATTATCTATGATTAAGTCTAGCATTCTGGATTTCTGAAATTGATTAAGTGCTTTACAAGATTCTACATAAAAAGTGTCTTTAACTGCACACCTAAAATTGATTTGAGTAGCAATACCTTTAGGGATATTACCGTGGTCTCTCGTAGTCTGTAAGTATCTCAATTGACACGATGCCCTGATCTAACTGCTAAGTTGTCCATTTTAGGCATTAGGGACTCATAATGATGAAAATCTCACAAAAAGATGTCGGATGACAAACGAAGCGTGATATATCGTTTCGCTATATAATATATATTATATATAGTAAGATTTGCTTCCCACGCGGACGACTGGGGTTCGATTCTCAGTGGGGACCAATTCGGTTCCCAGTGGGACCAATTAGGTCGGATGTAGTTCGGCCACCAAACCATGGTGTAATACTTTCATAAGAGCTTCGAAAAAACTTTTAGTGAAAAAATATATTTTAAAATTTTCGAAATTTTATCAAGCCTCAAAAAATGTCAAAGTGAAAAATTTTCGAATTTTTTCTAAAAACTACCTTTCCCCGTGTTTTACAAAATTCTGATCATTTTGAGCCGATTTTAATTACTAATTAACTAATTACCAAAAATCATAAAAATGATTATAAACATTTTTATGATTTTTGGTAATTAGTTAATTAGTAATTATCCAATTATCTGATTGTCTGACATGAACATTTTTCTGACAAAAGTTTTTCTCGTCGATAAGATAAATATACATATCACCGGAGACTCGCGGGCGGAACAAAATATTGTACGCGCACGCGCGTGCAATATTTCATATGTCCCCGAGGGCGCTAGCCCGAGGAGGACATATTTTCGTATAGCACGGATCGAGGGCCCATCGGGCTCGAGTGCTATACGATTTTTCCGCCCGCGGGTCGAGGTGATGTGGATTATATCCACCAGCGTGAGCTTTTTCTTACAGATATTAGTTTTTTTTATATCGGCTATATCCATGAGCGGGCGCTTCTCAAGTTGTAATGCCACTAATTAGATGATCATTTACTAAGTTTTATAAATGTAAATATATCCACAATGTAATATATCCACAAGTGGGCGTTTATCACGAAGCTTCAGTTTCCAACAATCACAGCAAATTAATGTACAAGATTTCAGAAATTTTACGAGAAAATCATGTTGCTTTTAGTTTAAGATGTTATAGAACAGGCCAAAATGACTGACTATAGAACGAAAAACCGGCCGCTATCAAACAATGTTTCAGCTCATTGTTTAATGTTTCATGTACATATAATTTTATTGTAAACAATCAAAATATAGGCCCTCTCTCCCTCTCTCCCTCATCTCCTTATCTCCTTCTCTCACTCTCTCACTCTCTCCCTATCTTCCTTTCTCCTTCTCCCACTCTCCTTACCTCCCTCTCTCCCTCTATCCCTCTCTCTTTAGCTCCATCTCTCCTCATCTCCCTCTCCTCCTCTCCCTTTCTCTCCCTCTCTACTTCTCTACCTCTCTCCCCTCTCCCTCCCCTCTCCCTCCCTGGAACCAGAACAAGCACCGCCAGCCGCCACAGAGCCTGCTACTACCACGTGAGTATCAGTTACCTGGGTAACCAGGGTTACCCGGGTATCTAGTTACTAGAGTTTCTGTAGCAGCTACTGAGTGACTGGACAATCAAAAGTAGTAACCCAAATAGCTCGAGATCACAGTCTGATCATGGACATTGAATATGAAAGTTAAAGATCAAATCTATAACATCAATTTAAATGGCAGTTTCAAAACAAAAACAGGGCAAAATATCTTTCGGGAACACAATAGAATAACACGTAAAATGTCGGCCTAAATTTCAAGGTTTATCAACTGAAATAGTGAACTGAAAATGGTAAACACAAAACAATTATCGATACTAATGGATATCACAGGTTTAGACTTAACGTCTCCACGAATTTGGTGGATATACACCTTTGATTAATTCGTAAATAGTGGCCTAAGGACACTTGGAAAATTTTGGAAAAGTTGGTCAGCAGAATGAAACCTAAAAATTGAACTTAAAAACGTCATAAATCCTTTGGAAGCTTTTCGTGTCAGTAGATCGATTTTTTTCAGACGGATCTGTACTATCTTTGCACTCTGCACTGCAAATGTCCATATCACGCAAAATATTGACCTTATAAGGTAATCGTGACGTCGCGTTATCCATGAAAGTACTGGCACGAGTACTGAACAAACTGTGCCTGCAGTCACGTCAGGCACGGATTTTTAGCTAGGTAAGTAGGTACGGCTTTTGAAAAGATTTCCCTGGCGTGCCTGAGGAGTTGTCGCGTATCCTCTAATCACACTACGTGCCTCTAGTCATGACTGTCGTGCCTGTTGGCATTACATCTGACTGCACTATGAAAACGGTTATCGTAACGGTAATCGTTGCTCGGTAGTTATGAGTTAAGCATACAATTAACAGGTTGGTTACCAGTCAAAAGTGGGGTGATTATAGAGTGGGATCTTGAGTCGACACCTATAGAAGTTAGAACTGATAGCGGGGTGGGGAGTAACGATAAGGTGGCATTGTACCTCAAATCTGCAGGGGGAGAGAATGCAGGAGAAGTCCAACTCTCCTTCTCCCCTACTCTACGATACTTTCTCGACTATTGCGAACCCTGGACTAACTTCCCTGTTAATCCCCCCTCTGCTACTGACAAGGTGTGGCGTATAACTGAAACTGCAGGTGTTAGACTAGTGATACACTGTAACGAGGTAGAGGTGCTCAACAAACTGCTACCTTACAAGACATTTTTGTGGCGGACCTATTTGCGACGACCGAAATTTTGGCGGTCCGAAAATATGGCGAAATTGAACAAAAACCGTCACATTTCGGACGTCACAGAAAATAAGGGTATTTTTCATCATTTTGTTTTCTGACACAAAGCTAAAGGAAATTCAAACTTTTCTAAAAATCGGTAAAATCATGTTGAAACAAAATGAAACTTATAAATCGATTTCTTCATCTTCCTCTAAGGGGTCCGGCTCGACTCTTTCAGTTTCACTTATTGAGTTTGGTATTAAATTGTTTATCTTGACTTAGTCTCTTATAAGACGTTTATGTTAGCACATAAATGTAATTTATTGTAAATTTAAAACGTATTACTTGACATTAAATTCATCATGGAATATTGTGTTTATTTGTCCCACCATCATATCACTAACTTTTCAAGAACAAAATGAATCGATGAAGCCACAATTATTGGAATAAGCTAAAAATAATGCGACGTATTCTATTACGACGACCGAAATTTTGGCGGTCCGAAAATATGGCGAAATTTCGGGAAAACCGTCGCATTTCGTACGTTATAAAAATGTCTTGTAAGGTACCTAGACGGAACATTATCGCACTATATAGTGACAGCACCATATAGTGACAAGTTTATCTTATATCGACTTTTCTTTACTCTTCACTCCACTCTACTTTTCTTTAATTCTACTTTAGTCCACTAATTCTTTAAATTAGTGAAGAGGTGTATCCGGAATCACAGAGAAGGAGGCGATGACCGCCTGGTGACCGGGTCGCCAGTAGCTGTGTTGAGGTAGGAAGGAGGAATGGATAGGAACTCCAGGGAGGTGGGGTTGGTAGGTTGTCTGTTAGAGGCAGCTCGTGCTTTTCGCACCATCTTCGAGAGACTGCTGGTGCGACATCCAAAGTTAGCTCTGCACTCGAAGTCCAGTCCTGAATGAACTTCAGCAACGATCCGTTTAGTTGATGTGTCCGATGTCGCTGCACGTTCCTTCATCAAAAATCATCAGCACAATGCACATCCTCAAAAATGTAAATAAGAAAACCGCAAGGGTGTTTGAGCAGATTTGCGAACAAGGGAGCTCAATTAGCTATTATGTCTACCGCTGAGAAAAAATGGATTCGTTCTAAATAAATCTGCATTTATTTTTATCTGCAATTTCTCACCTAGCGTTAACAAAATTTTATGCTCTAAGCTTTCATTTTTAAGGTTAATCATAATCTATCTCAACCATGCACAATGTAAAATATTATATCAAATGTATCTATAATAGATACCTAAGTAAGTGTATAGATTATTCTAATTACTTACATAAATCGCACGTACAGATCACAGCGCATACGAGGTTTTCTCTTCTTAATCTCGACTGAACTATGACATAAACTCAACATGAAATTTTGTAAAGGCATCTATTTGTGAATGCACCCACCCCTCCACTACATTATGCCCTTACTGCACTACTAGGGTCTAGGTGGCCTAGTGGTTAGAGCATCCGCCTTCTGCGCAGAAGGTTCAGGGTTCGAATCCCAGTGTCACCTAGTCTAGGAAGTAGCTAAGGATCCATTGGATCTATGAGATTTCCTCGGTCGACTCAGCCAAATGATAGGAAACTGTTAAAAGTTCAAGAAACTTCCTAGGATACCCCTTCAGTGCATACTGTAAACTTAGTACTATTAACTATTAACTATTAATACTACAACACTAATACCTCACAGGGAATCATGATAGGTATGGGACAGAAAGAAGCCTATGTTGGAGATGAAGCCCAAAGTAGAAGAGGTATCCTCACTCTAAAATACCCCATTGAGCATGGTATCGTCACCAATTGGGAAGATATGGAGAAAATCTGGCATCACACTTTCTACAATGAGCTTCGTGTTTCACCAGAGGAATTTGGAATGCTGCTTACAGAGGCTCCTTTAAACCCTAAAACTAACAGGTATTATTACAACCCGATGTATATTATACGCTAATCTAACAGCGTATAATGCGAGTACACTAATTGCACTTAATTGCACGAGGCGCAATCAAGTGTAAATTGATACAATAATCGCACGAGGCGAAGCTGAGTTCGATTATTGCAGTTATTTCAAGAGGCACAGCCGAGTGCAATAACTGGTGTAATCGTATTATACATGCAGTTAGATTCGCGTTTAACCTTCTAGTTCTTCAGGGGGATACGTCAGCACCATACTTGTTCATTATAGCCCTATACTAGACTATTGCATGAGACAAGCCTTAAGCAAGCACCCTGAAATAGGATTTACCAGTAAGCCTTATAGGAGTAGGAGAGTCAATGCTGAGAAAATATCGGACGCTGGTTTTGCGGATGACATTGCTCTGATAGCAGATACTGTAAAGGAGGCAGAGACGCTGATGCAAGAGGTAGAAAGGGTTGCTGCAACAGTGGGACTTAGACTGAATGAAGGGAAAACCAAATTCATTACTAAGAACATCGAGAACCCTGATACTATCAAGTCCCTGGGTAACAGCACAATAGAGCATGTGGAAGACTTCACCTACCTGGGTTCAAGAATCAGAGACAGTGAGAGTGATATCAGGGTTAGGAAAGGAAGAGTATGGGGAGCATGCCACACACTCAAAAACTTTGGAATTCTAAGCTTAGGAAGTCTGTTAAGATCAGAGTGTTTACACTTACAACACTAGTCGAGTCGGTGCTTTTGTACGGTTCGGAGACTTGGACTATGACGAAAAGGCTAGAGAAGATGGTTGATGGTTGCTATGCGCGAATGTTTAGAATGGCTCTTAACATCAATCAATATCGAGACTATGTCAGCAACCCTGTACGGTGATCTTTCCAAAGTCGGCTCCAAGATCACCCAACGAAGGCTCAGACTTGCAGGTCATGCTCACCGACATCCTGAGCTGACACTGAACAAACTGATCCTCTGGAAGCCGAGTCATGGGCATACTAACAGGGGGCGACCTTACTTAACACTACTAGATAACCTAAAAGCAGATACTGGGCTGAAGTCAGTAGATGAGATAGCTAGACTGATGGAGGACAGAAAGCTGTGGAGAACTGTTGTCAATGGATCTCGGGAACACTACACTACAAGTCAGTTAAGTCAAGTATAACTACTTCTGGTGTTATATAATCGGTGCGATTAGTTTATATTCGCACGGACTGTTTAGTTAGTTGCTCTAAAAACAGTGAGATTATAAACTAATCGCACTGTTTTGAGAGCACTGAGCAACTCAAAGAACAGCGCGCTTCAACCCTCCACTTCAACCCGAAACCTCCTCCGAGAAACGAAGTGACGTCATCCGCCGACTCTCTCTCGGTTGATTTGTACAATCTAGTAACTCCACAAAAATATCTGATAACCATCTCAACAGAGGGTCAAATACAGATAAGAAAAGTAAACATAGGATAACCGTCCGATGCTAATTGCTCCTGTTATGTGATTGGTCGGATCTGAGTCACGTGACATAACTCATCGATTGCTATTGGCCGCTAGGATGGGATGGACCAAGAATCGGTCCATCCCTATTATCTGCAGTTGTGATGATTTTTTGAACGTTTTGCTTGCCTGCTGTGGATTTTCAGACCACCCAAGTATCGCCCGTTAAATTACCACTGAAAGCTATTAATATATCACAGTATCTTTAAGAAAATCAGTGCGATTAGCTTTGTAATCACACCGAATATGTTTTCGGTTGCTCTCAAAACAGTGCAACCAGTTTTGTAATCGCACTCCCTGGGAAAAACCGGTGCAATTATGAAAATAATAAGTGGCCGTCAAATAGGTCAAAAGTGGAGTTATAGTAAGGGGGGGGGGGGGGGGGGGGGGGGGGGCAAAGTCAGTACCCATACGTTGGCCTTAGTAGCTCAGTCACTGAGTGCCCAATCGAAATAATTCTTTCTGATATGACTTACTACCCCTGGCACTACTGGTTCGAGGAATTTGTCAAATCGAAAAATATTCGTGTTCATTTTTTTCAAATGAAGGTTCATTTTCGCATTTATTTGATAGGTTGGATAGTCGGATCGAATCAAATTTTATTGAATGGTGTTTGGCCATTTAAATTACGTTTTTCCTGAAAAAATGAGAGTTTAGCTTTTCGGATGACCGAGATATGAAGCATAACGAGTTTGTTCATTACGTGTGATCAGGTGATTGGGTTGAGGCTAGATCTGCATTATGGGAATCGTGCAGAGAGCCCAATTACGGTGTCGTAATTGGGTTATTATTGAGTACCCAATCAATTTGCTAACGAGATAAACAAATTGCTTGATAACTTCGTCATTTTAAATCCGTTTCGCACCATATTTTCAGATTATATTCCAGATTAAATGACCTATTGCAATATGTTACAACGGAGTCTCTAACATGTTCACAAACACCAGTATAAGCAATTCAATATTGATTGGGTGTGCCCCCCAAAAATTGAATTTTCAAATTTCGGTGATTGAATCCTCGAACAAGTAGGTACAGTATGCCATCTGCAAAGCAACAACTCTCAAATATAAAACACGGCGGTGGTATAAGATACAACGTATGATTACTGACCTTTGCCCCCCCCCCCCTGTATTAATACTACTACTAATATTAGTATTCGGTTACCTCGATTTTTGAACATTTTACCGAAATGTCATCACTTTAACAGAGAGAAGATGGCGGAGATAATGTTTGAACAGTTCAACGTTCCAGCCATGTACGTGGCTATCCAGGCGGTGTTAGCTCTCTACTCTTCTGGGAGAACTACCGGCCAGGTTATGGACTCTGGTGACGGGGTTACTCATGCAGTCCCAATCTATGAGGGTGAGATTATTTCTAGTGCAGACAGTCTGTACTATTCTGACCTTTTCAGAATGTTATGAATCATTTCAAACAAAAAATCGTACAGGGAAAGCAAACGAATTACGATTTTTGGTCTTTAGAAAACCACGTAAATTAGTTTTGAATTATTCTCATTACCCTATAGATTTATAATTTATATTCTACAAATATTGCAACTATACTGTGTTTACAGGGTACGCTCTACCCCACTATATTCTACAAATATTGCAACTATACTGTGTTTACAGGGTACGCTCTACCCACTATATTCTACAAATATTGCAACTATACTGTGTTTACAGGGTACGCTCTACCCCACTATATTCTACAAATATTGCAACTATACTGTGTTTACAGGGTACGCTCTACCCCACTATATTCTACAAATATTGCAACTATACTGTGTTTACAGGGTACGCTCTTATACCTCACGCTGTGATGAGACTAGACTTGGCTGGTAGGGATCTAACTGACCATCTGATGAAGCTCCTGACTGAGAGGGGATATGTCTTCATCACCACCGCAGAGAGGGAAATTGTCAGAGATATTAAGGTATTCCTTTATTGTACAAACTACAAACATTACAGTCAGTGCAGCGTATTAAAACAGTGTGATACACATACTGACCCTACTATGTGGGGAGGCGGGCATCAGACAGAGCGCTTTTCCCCTGAATTTTAGTTAAATTTTAAACAAAAAATCGTCCAATTTGGCAGCAGAATTAATCATAACTGGTTATCTTAACGTTTGGTCTGATTATAGTTTCGTGAAAAGTCTACTTTTGGCTACTGATGATTTCACTGATCATTATAAACTTTAATACAGTCAGTGCAGCGTATTAACTTTAATGAACATTATTCTCTAATCACTTATATCGTTTGCATTATAATCAATGTATTTAATTAATGTTTAACCCTCGGTCTATGTCATAATCAATGTATTTAATTAATGTTTAACCCTCGGTCTATGTCGTAATCAACGTATTTAATTAATGTTTAACCCTCGTTTGTGTCATACAAGATGGCCCAAAAAGGCAACTATGTGATCTTTGTTTAAAAACTAATCTCTAGGTGGTCTTTTTTGGGAACACTCAGTATTTAATGTTTCTGAATTTGAATATTCTGACGCAGGAAAAGCTATCGTACATTGCGTTGGACTTTGAAAAAGAGCTAAAAGCTCCAGATTCTTCAGATGGTCTTGAAAAAGCATATGGAGCTACCCGATGGCCAGGTAACAATAGCATCACGGGTGCTAACTTTTATACCTCGTTTACTGTTTTTTTGTGATTTTTTCAGGCAATAAGACCTCATCAGAAGTCGTTCAGCAGGTTTATTTTTAGTTTAAAACATTCTAATTCAATGTCAAAGATGACAGGAATAAGCAATGTGGAGATTTTTAAGAAATTTGCATAAAATACGAGCCAGCTGTTATACGAAATTCGGTAAAAAAAAACCCCAAAATCGCTACCTACATTAAGTTGCTTAAAAACCACTTTTAAACTAAGTTAGAGATCTGAAATTTCGCAGGGCGGCTAGACGTTGATCAATCGATGGCAATTTTTTTCAAGTTTCGGAGTATCGGGAAGGAACCAGGAACCCCTGTTTTAAGATAGATTGTCGTGACATAATTAGAAATTAGAAATCAGAAAGATCATTACAAATTTACATGTGTCAGATTCAGATCAATTAATTAAAAATTATTCAACCAAACAAATAACATATCAAAAATAAAGAATGATTTTAAAATATGCACGGATTAAGTAAGTCACAGCTTACTTTTAGGAAATCTTTCACTAAATAAAAATTTTAAAAAAAAAATTTTTGTCTCAAGAATGTATTTCCTCAAATTTAAAATTTATGAATTGATATTTGTGAGAGGTTGTGAAGTTCCGTGCTGTTTTTTGTGTTTTGACCCTCGTAGACTAGAATTTTTTCTAATATTTTAATTTCTCTTCTTTGAGGGGTCATTTAAAGGGGGGGTCGTTCAGGGGGTCTGAGGGGATTTGTCTTTGGGGGCAAACAGGAAATGGGAAATTGTAGAAGATGCTTGTTTTTTTTCCCCCATACGCCCCCTGTCTCGAATTGAGTTTGTGGGGAGCTTTTCCCAAAGGGTTTTTTTTCGGGTTTCTTGTGATTGGGTAAAGGGGGCTTGAGATGGCTGGTTCTAATCAAAAAATGCTTTTTTTTCTTTTTTAGAATCAAGCTTTTTGTTTTTCCAAATGAGCTTTTTTCCCCCCTTTTGTTGGAACCAATCCCCCAGTTTTATCCGAACGAGTTGGCTGTTCGGCATGGGAACATTCTTCTGCAATTGTTCGTTAGTTGCTCCTGGGGCAAAAATTGCGCGGTCAGCGCTTCGAGGTTTTGGAACCAGGGGCAGTCTAGGTTTTTTTTTGCTTACGAAAGCATGGCGAAAAAATCTGGGTGGTTTTTTCTGTCAAGGAGGACGAAGCCGTTTGGGGAAGTCAAGAAAGGCTTACTCAGCTGTTTTCCAAGGGGGATATTATTACCCCGGAAAAAACCCCAAAATTGGGTTGAGTTGTTTGTTACAGTGTCCCCTTTCCTAAACAAAAAAGGGGGATATTATTTTTTTTTCCCGTTATTTCAAAAGGGAAAAAAGATACCGAAATGGGGGAATTGGGGGGCCGCCCGCAGTTTTTTTGGGCAGTTTTAGAGGTTCGAAGATTTTCAAAATCGAATTAAAAATTTTTTTAAAAGGGCCCATTCAAAATTTGGCCCCTACTTTCTCTTTTTAAAAAGGACCCTGGAAAAAAATTTCCCAAAAAAATTAAGGGGGGATAGCTAAAAAATGTAAGCGTTTTTACTTTTAAGTTAAACGGGCGATAATTTTTACCTTTTGGAACAAAAATTTTTCCATGGGGGGGGGCCAAAAGCAGCTGATGAAAATTTTAATCTTTTTTTCAGAAAAAGACTAAAACTCAATTTCGGAAAATGTTTTCCCTGGAAGGCCCCCCCCCCCCCCCCCCAAATCGTAACGTTGCCCTAAAAATTTTTCCTTTTTCCTCAACCTGGTCCCTTCGATACACCTAAACACCCCCGGTAAATTTTGATTGGAAATGAACGATTTGGGGGGCCCCCCAAACTTTATTTCAACCTACTTATCGGTGGTAAAGTTTTACAGGTTAGAACCTTTTTTTAAAAATTTCAGAGTTTTGTTTAATTAAATTACAGATTTAGTACTTAAAAAAATTACAATTTAAAAAACCCAAAATTAAATTCAGATTTAGGGGAAATTAATTAAATTACAGATTTAGAACTTTTAATTTAAAAATTTCGGTTTTTTAAATTTAAATTTAAATTAAAGTTAGTACTTAATTAAATGAAAAATTGTTACTCAAGTTGTGGTTCGTGATCAAAGGCTCACTAATGTAGTACGTTTAAATTTAGTACAGTATACTTTGAACATGAATCCCGATTTTTTGGGAGTTTTGGGGGGGAAAGGTAAAAGGTGCGGTAAATCGGGGTCCCCCCTTAAATTTGGGAGTTTTGATTGTTTACATTTATGATTTTCAAGTTTTTCCTAATTTTGGGGAAGGAAAATTGGCCACCAAAATAAATCGGGGTTTCCCCCGTTTAAAAAAGGTTTTGGTTTTTTTTTTTTTACAATTTAGAATTTTTAAAAGGACTAAAATTTTTGGGGGGGAAAGGAAAAAATGGGAAATACGGGGTTTTCGGTTTTTTTTGGAATTTTTTTTAGTTTCTGAATTTAAAGGTACACAGGGGTTTTTCTGTTTCTGTAATTTAGAGGTATAACAGGGGTTTTTAAAATGTACGTAATTTAGAAGGTATTTAAGGGTTTTTACTTGACTGTAATTTTGAGGTATACAGGGGTTTTACTGTTTCTGTAAAATTTGAGGTTTTCCCGGGGGGTTTTTACTGTACTGAATTTTTTGGGTCTACAGGGATTTTACTTTACTGTTTAAATTTTGAGGGGACTACAGGGGGGTTTTACCGTACTGTAATTAGGGTCATACAGGGGGGTTTTTTTCTGTACTTTTAATTTTTAGGTACAAAGTAATAAGACCCCGTTTTTAAAAGGGTTTCTTTTAAAATATTTAAATGTTGGCAATATTTAAGTTTAGTTTTAAACCAAAAAATGTATAGTCCATGTGTGGCCTCGGTAAACGTTTCAGGAATGGAAGCAAAAAGGGGGTTTCATGAAGGTGCTAAACTAATCCAGAAATGGACATTGATTTAAAACGTGATTCTACGCAAATCTAGTTCTCTCTGGGGGGGTTTTAAAAAGTTTTTTGGTATTGAAACCCATTTTTAAAAAAAACTTTTTTTAGCTTTTTTTCTTTTTCATTGGATTTTTTTCAAGCCCTTTCTTTATCCCGAGCATAGTTGCTGTTTTTGAATACAAAGTTTTTTATTTTTACGGTCCGGTTTAAAAAACTATTTTTGGAGGGGTAGCAAACAGGAAAAGAAAAATTTTTTCTATTGTTGAAGGTTTTGCAGACTTGATAGCAACATGTTTTTAGCCCCATGGAAAACACTATTTTATTTAGCTTTGGGGCGGTAAGCAGAACGGTATAGCATATTTCACTATTAGCTTGACAGGTAAGCGACAGGGTTTTGTAATATTTCCTATTGGGGTTTTGACAAGTTAATACATTTCACTATTTGCTTGACAGGTATGCAGAAAGGGGGTGTACTTTTTTACTATAAGCTTGACAGGTTTTAGCAGAAGGTGTTAGTACTTTTTTTTTCCTATTAGCTTGACAGGGTATAGCGACGTTTTTGCCTTTCAAAAATTAGTTTGAAATTGTAATCTATTTCACTATTTTTCTTTTAAAAAAGGTATAATGAGCAGGTTTAGCCCTTTTTTATTATTTAGTTTTGGGAAAGTGTAAACTATTTCACTATTTGTTGACAGGTTTTTAGCAGAAGGTGTTGTACTTTTCACAAATTTCTTGACAGGTTTAAGGGGGGGGGAATTTTGCCCCCTATTTTCCCTATTTTGTTTGACAATGTTTAAACTATTTCATATTTTTTTTGAAAAAGGGTTAAAAAGCAGACGGGGGTTTGCATATTTCATTATTTGCATGGGGCAGGAAAAGCAACAGATGCAGGGGAGCTAACAGCGCTTAGCTCCACCTCAATAAGTTTAAAAGGGGTTTTTTCCCCCCCTAGAGGGGAAAAGTTTTCTCTTATGGGAAAATTGGAGGTTTTTCTTCTTCTTTTCAAATTAATTTGGGAGTGAGAAATTTTAGTAATTTTAAAAATTTTTTTGGGTAATTGAGGGGTGGGCGAAAACAAAATTTGAAACCCCGAACAAAATTTGACCCCCCGGGCAAAAACCCCCCAAAATTGAAACCCCCGGAAAAAATTGACCCCCCGAAATTGACCCCCCGGGGAGGTTACCCACCTTTTAAAATTCCCCCCCCCCCCCCCCCCCCCCCGAAAATTTCCCCCCCAAAAAACCCCTAAGGGGGAACCCTGGGTAACCTAAAAAGGGAACCCTTTTTTAATTTTTAACCCCAAAACCCTACCAAACACAATTTTCCCTAACCCCCCTTTCCCCTTAAACCCCCCCAAAACCCCCAAAAATAAAACCCAAACCCCCCCCCCCCCCAAAACAAAACTAAACCCCAACCCCAACCTAACCCAAAACCCCAACCCCAACCCTTAACCCTAACCCTATAAAACCCCAAAATACCCCAACCCTAACCCAACCCTAACCTCCTAAACCCTACCCTAACCCTAACCCTAACCCTATACCCTAAACCCTAACCCGAACCTAACCCTATCCCTAACCCGAACCCTAACCCTAACCCTACCTACCCGAACCCTAACCTAACCCTAACCCGAACCCTAACCCTAACCCTACCTACACCCTAACCTAACCCTACCCCTAACCCTAACCCTAACCTAACTAACCTAACCCTAACCCTAAACCCTAACCCACTCACCCTAACCCCTAACCTAACCCTAACCCTAACCCTAACCCTAACCCTAACCCTAACCCTAACCCAAACCTAACCCTAACCCTAACCCTAACCCTAACCCTAACCCTAACCCTAAGCCCTAACCCTAAGCCCTAAACCCTAAGCCCTAACCCCTAACCCTACCCTAACCCTAACCCTAACCCTAACCCTAACCCTAACCCTAACCCTAACCCTAACCCTAACCCTAACCCTAACCCTAACCCTAACCCTAACCCTAACCCTAACCCTAACCCTAACCCTAACCCTAACCCTAACCCTAACCCTAACCCTAACACTAACACTAACACTAACACTAACACTAACACTAACACTAACACTAACACTAACACTAGCACTAGCACTAACACTAACACTAGCACTAACACTAACACTAACACTAACACTAACCCTAGTTACATGGGGGGTCAATTGTCGGGGGTCAAATGTCGGGAGGGTCAATTGTCGGGGGTCAATTGTCGCGAAATCTTGCCTGAAATAAGCAGCAGTGTTTGAAATTCATAGCGTCTACCTAGGTTATTTGCCAAAAAAAACTCCACCATTTTCATTAAATGAAACAAATAAATTATTTTCGGAGGTTAAAAGTGACATAACACATTTTTATCGTATTAAACAAAATCTCGATTTAAAACTTCAACAAAAATACACCCATTTTTAAATGTCTCTTCAAAAAACAATTTTAAAGCTTTTTCTGTGTAGCTTCCCAGTTACTTCTCTTCTATCGCATCAGTGACCCCACACACAAAGCTTGGGATTAGAATCAGGTACAGGCAAACAGTAATCAAGGTCCTCACAGCCCGGTGGAGCCCAATTTTGCACTGCAACATCGCAATAGTTTAGGGACGGCACTCCTGGTACCAAGTTTGCTTTGTGCTCTTTAACGATGGGGTCGATGATTGCCATGGCAGCTTTGTATTCTTTACTTTTGAATGCGATGATATACTTTTCACCTGGATCTCTATTAACATTGAAAAGTATTGGTTTATCCGTGTGATCTATTTGGTCGTGAACTGTAACATTGGAAATGTATTGGCCTCTGCACAAAGTGAACTTCAGTGGGTCTTGTCCGAACCCAGTCCACATCCAATAGTGTGCCTTGTAAGCGCCCACCCTCACTGCCATCATCTCGTTACCTCTGTAATACCATATAGGCCTGTTTATCACTGGGACTGACTCATCCAGTAGAACTGGACACAGGTCTATGCCGTCAATAATTCTGTCTTGAGGCGGTTTTACCCCCGCCAAAGTTAGACTGGTAGTAAAAAGGTCCATGATGTTTCCGAGCTGATGAGTAATGGTTCCAGCAGGGATTGAACCAGGCCACCAAGCTATCCCTGGTTCTCTCATCCCTCCCTCATATGTTGTCTCTTTTCCACACAAGAAAGGACCATTGTCTCCGCCTGCTGAACCTCTGTAGGTAGCTGCCCCGTTGTCAGACGTGAAGAAGACAAAAGTGTTCTTGTCAATCCTAGCTCCTTCAGCTTCTGTAAGATCTTGCCTACACAGTAGTCCATTTCCATCACAGCATCTCCGTATCTTCCTCGGATGCTTTTCCCGAGGAACATTGGGCTGGCATAGTTGGGACCGTGTGTCGCGTCCGGTGTCCAGTAAAGGAAGAACGGATTTCCATCAGAGTGCTCCTTTTCGATGAATGAAAGACCTTCCTGGAGAAATATTTGGCTCACATTGGACAGTCCAGTCATTTTTCCAATGGTGAAGTTGGTGTAGTATCTTCCAACCATTTTGTCGTCTTTGTACACTGGCATGTTGGGTGTTTTAACATCGTTAAATGGTCCAAAATGACAATTTCCTGAGCCAAAGAACTCATCAAACCCTCTATTGCAGGGAAGGAACTGTCTCCTGTGTCCCAGGTGCCATTTTCCAATTATTTTACTTTTGTAGTCAGCTTCTTTCAAAAGTTTAGGAAGGAGCTGCTCGTATTCGTGGATGCCACCGACAATGGTCTGAGGAGTGTAAGCGTTCCTAGCATGAGCGTTTGTTGAGTAAAATCCATTTCTAATAGGAAGTCTCCCCGTCATTAGGGCTGCTCGTGAGGGGGAACAGAGCGGGTTAGCTGTGTAAAAGTTCATGAACAACATACCTTCTGCTGCCATC